TTGGATCTTTAGGATGGGGCAAGTGTGGAGGCCTCGTTAAAGTCATACAATAGCTAAAGACTTTACATTGTCTATTTAGATGCTAGTTATGACACTTTTTGTTAGGTGTTGTGATAGTCTAGGACTAGGATATTATGTAGTATTCTAAATGCCCTTGACTATTTTTATCTGCTTGTTATATTTTTCTACCCAAGAGTAAGTTTTGTGCTTTTGGTATGTTTGCATGTGTGCCGATTTTGATGTGCATGGTAGTAAATTAAGGTGGTATTCTGTGATGATTCATGACATATATATGCACACACACATGTACAATAAAAGGGGGAGCATGTAATGATTTACATGCTAACTTTTGTTTGCAGGTGCTCTTAGCTCTCCCATCAGGCATGACCCAGATATGTTTGCATGCTATAACCGGTGCTAACATTTTTCTGCAATTGGAGTTTTTCTTTCACTTTCAATTTGTACTTTTAGAGTCCTTAGAATGGTCCTGCAATGAAAATATGATACTAACACGAGTTCCAAGAAGCTTTGGTGTGGAACCATATGGCGAGGGACCTAAGCAGCAGCTCATGTCCCGTAGCTTAATTCCACATTTTATATTGATCCATAAAATTAAGACCGAGTATGCATATGCAGAGTCAAACCACTCTTTTTCCTTTCTGAGATATGTCATCGACTCAGTGACACTGATATTCTTATTATATTATTTTGTTTGCTTTATTACCTTTCTTGCATGCTTGGGTGCTTCGTTGTTTCACCCTTTTTCATGTGTGGCTTATCTGGGATGTCACAAAAATGAAATTTAGGCTTTTTAGGATTTAAAATTCTAAATTTACTACAAAATACTAATAAAATATTTAAGATAATGAAAATTTTATGATTAAAATATTTGAAACTTTAAAATTTGTACTTTTTTATTTTTTCTGTATGGCCTTCAGGCAAGATTTTAAATGAAATGTATATCATGAACATCACCTAAGTATATAATAGGGCCTCCACACTTAGGGATAAACAACTGCATCATATTTGCATGTCCCAAGGAAAAGCCCCCTGCTTCTCCAACCCGATTGACCTAACATAGATTTCTATTTAAGTGGTTATCTAGTGCGTTTAGAGTGTTAAAAGGCTCCCGATCCAAACAGATGTAAGTCATTTTGTTAAGAGCTTTCAGCTTTGTAGCTAGACCTCTCTTTTCTCTTTCTTTCGCTTTCCCTCTTCCTTCCAGCAGCATTCTTGTTATTTCGGCAGGCATAAAGCCCAATTCTTGAAGCTCCATCTATAATCATAGGATAAAGTTTTGTTATTTTGACCTTAGGGCTACTGAGGTGTCCATGGATGATGCAATTCACTGATTGATGACCAGGGATCTCTAGATGTATTGGGTTAACTTCCTTTACGACTAGGTAAACTTAGGGTCATGTAGCTTGGGATGACGATTTTATGGTACTTCGAACCGATAACCTCTATCTCTTAGGACTACTCTACCTTTCTTTTTGTTGAGCCCCTTTCAGCCTTGCCACTTCTCTTATTTTTGTTGATATCATCTTGACGACCCAATTACCGATGAGCTACCGCCCATTTGGTATACGATGATTTTTCCTCTGCTCTTATGGCTTGATAAACTCTAAGGTATGTGGATATCCTCGTCGAGTTGATTTGGTTATTCGTAGTTTCTGTATGTTGACGTGTTGCAAGTCATTTGAGAAGTGAGAGACTCACTCTCTACCCTGTGGCTTAGCAAGAGCTTTGAATCATCGAGGCGTTCTCATACGAAATAATCATCCTTTGATGACTTATTCTCTAGGTTCATGATAATGTAAATTAAATTCATTTTATCAAGAGTATTATTAGGCCTCTGCCAAGATGTAATTATCCAAAGGGATAAGTTTCTATGGGAGACTCTTGAACCCAGAACAAAAATGTTCTTTTTGAATATCTGGTTACAGGTGACTTATACAGGGATTCTCTTCATGGATGTTGTGTTTTGAGATAGTTCAATTTGATCCTGTTTAGACTTATACATTATACCCATCACACAAGGACTACACATATATAAGTCTTTTGTTTGTTTCTTTTTAATTGTTTGTCTATTTGTTGTTGTATCACCTTTTTATTTGATTCGTCTCTTCTTTGAATCGTTAATATGATTCGGGAGATAGATTTTCTTGAATAAGATAGTTATACGACGACGAAAAAAAATTCAAGCTGACGACTCAGAGTCTTTAAAAAGATCTGAGAAAAGCAATAGAATCCATTACTAAAGCAAAAGCATACAATCTTAAAGTCGATCTCTAATGTAATCCAACTGAAATAAGAAAATAGTTGGTCGATCATCCTTTGTTGTTAAACCCTTAACGCTCCTTTTAGTTGCTAAAACCTAAAACCTAAACACATTCCATAGAATAAATGAAAATAAAAAGGGAAATTTGCATACATTCTATTCAATTCCTGTGTCTTTAGAGGTTTAACACCAAAAATTGAATTTTAACATTCATACATGTGAGCTGCAAGCTGTGAGAGCTATAGCATCAACGGGAGAGAAGGAAAGCACACAGCGGCTGATCGTCAGTGCAGTAGGATTGCCAGAGTTGGGGTCGCCGAAGCGGTGGAGTCGCTGAAAGGTGGGAGGATTAAGGCACCTAGGGAGGAGACCGAGAGGGGCAGGATTAGGGCAAAACCATGAGCGTCATATTTTGGCGGTATAAAGGATTAGTTCTGAAGACTTATAAAAGGCTTAAAAGTCATCGTTAATTAATATTATTACGGATGAAAATTCCTATCACTTAATAAATAACCTCGCCGGTTAACACTCTGCCAAGTGGTGGGGTTGTAAATCACCGATGAAATATGACCGTCTGTTAATAATTATCTATAACTGACGGTATAATGCACCGATGATAATAAAAATCATCGGAACAAATATTACTGTTGATAAGTGATGACATATCTTGTGGTTATACAATCGAAAATGACCCAACACATAAACCGTCGTTGAATCGTCATAAAATAGAGCATTTTTTTCGCTATCAATTTGAGTCGTCGGTTTTTCTGTTAGTTTTAGTGTTTTTTCCTGTAGTGACTAACATTAATTCTTTGAGAAGATGGATAAAGTAAGGTCCACTGAACACACTGGGTTTGAGTATATTGATATCATAAACGTCGCTGAATTGTAAAAAAATAAAGCATTTTTTTCATTGTCAATTTAAGTCGTCGGTTTTTCTGTCAGTTTCAGTGTTTTTTCCTGTAGTGACTAACATTAATTCTTTGCGAAGAGGGATAAAGTAAGGTCCATTGAACTCACCGGGTTTGATTATATTGATATCATTATCAAATACAATGTCATATTGACTCTCAATACAGACTGTGCAGAAGGGTCATTCGAAGTCACCGTGATCAATGTGTGGTGAGATACAATCTCCTGGTTCACAGATATTCACGATTCAACTATCAGGTACATTTATAGGTGGGATAATGTGTCATAATACAACCTCTTAATCATGTATATGGATAGCACTGGCAAGTAATCTACTTCCCTCCAAGAGCAATGCTATGTAGAGGGCCTAACATATCAAACTCATAGTCGTAACAACATCCAAACTGTAGATAGTTATGTCATTTCTTTTCATCCATTTTGGAGGCTCTAAGTAAGTTCGTTTATTCAATAAATCTTGATGGTCATTCATTTGCAATCAATATACAATATGTACAATTCATCTTTAATATATATATATATATATATTAAAGATGAATTGTACATATTGTATATTGATTGCAAATGAATGACCATCAAGATTTATTGATCAAACCCTTGACTTGAGGAGACTTACAGGGCCCCCGCCACCAATAAACCAAAGCTTGCGACACACACACACACACACACAGATATAGATATATATATATATATCTGTGTGTGTGTCTTAGTATGGCTCATTAGTTGCGGCCTTGGAAGTAAGTCCCTCAGGTAGGGGGTTCGATCCCTACATATGATTGAATTGCACGCCTTCTGAAAGAGGGGTCCGCCCCTCGATCAGACTATAAGATTGATCGGTTTTTTTTGGCAAAATTTAATTACAGAACTCTCAGAGTTTTGCAGTACAAAACCATACTTAAAAAAATCACTAACAAATTCTTTTGGGATGATTTACTAGCATAAAACAGGGAGAAAGTTGTTTCAACTCCTAAAATAAATATAAAATTAAAGTAAACACTAGCTTTACTAAAATTAAAAAATGGCGATTTTATAAGGTCCTGATGAATTGAGGTGCCACATGCCAAACTCCATATATAATGCAAGTTTGAAATATAACGAGAAGACATTAAATGTGCTTCGCGCACCCACGGCCAATATTTTTCTTAAAGTTCGTCATTTTAGAAAATTTCGATCAAGCAAAATACTTTTTTTTAAAGCATATAATACATCAATAAAAAGAAAAATAAAAAAAAGAACATAATTATGTTATCTGGTCTTCTCATAGCATTGTTATAAAGAGAATATTTTCCAAAAATGAACCAGTTCCGAAAGATTTTCCGTCAGTTCGTGAATTTAATTCATAGAATTTTATATTTATGACAAGCCATTTCGCATTAAATGAAGATAATTTTAAATATTATTCTTTTATAAATTTAATTTTTTTTTTTGCACATGCACCATTAACTCCTCTGTTTTGGTCAATAAATCACCTTTATGTAGAGCTGACAGAAACAAAAACTCGTTTTTTTGTGATCTGGCCTGATAACACAAGAAAATATTCCTCACGTGTTATTCTGCATTATTCGGATGTTATTGTTATGATATTGATGTATTATTGTGTTATCATAACATAAGAAATATTTTCATAACATAATAATACATGAATATTATCACAATAATATATGAATAATATGAAATAATAGGAAAATCATTGTGCGAAAATAAATATTTTTTTTTATTTTTCTGTCATCCCCAACTAACATGACACCAAATATAATTTCATTGAGCACTGAAAGTATCTCTAATTCCAGTGTCCTTGGACGTAAGTGTTTTGGCTTAATATACTTCTGGAGCTGATCCTCGACAGCGAATAAAACAGAGGCGAAGTGTATCAAATCCATGGAGGAGGAAGGCGATCGCATCGAAAATCTGCAATACCATGATCTCTCAACTCCTATCCTCCGCTGCGAAGAAGAAGATGAAGAAGATCTCCAAAACTCCCCAATCGAGCAAGTCGCCCTCACCGTTCCGATCACCGACAACCCCAACGCGGCCGTCATTACAGCCCGGATGTGGATTTTAGGAACGGCATCCTGTTTTCTCCTATCTTTCTTGAATCAGTTCTTCTGGTACCGTAAAGAACCTCTTACCATCACCTCCATCTCCGCCCAAATCGCCGTGGTTCCCGTTGCCAGATTGATGGCCACATATCTGCCGGATCGGAGATTCTTCGCCGGTACTAATTGGGAGTTCAGTCTCAATCCCGGTCCGTTCAGTGTCAAGGAGCATGTTCTGATTACGATTTTCGCAAACGCCGGGGCTGGAAGCGTTTATGCCATCCATGTCGTGACGGCCGTTCGGATCTTTTACCGGCAGAAGATTTCTTTTCTTGTTTCTCTGCTCGTCGTCCTCACCACTCAGGTGTCTGCTTCATTCTATTAGATCCATAAATTAAGATTTAGGGTAAGAGTGTTCTGATGTGAGCTCATTTGGTTTCATGTAGGTTTTGGGTTTCGGGTGGGCGGGAATATTCCGGCGGTATCTGGTGGAGCCGGCGGCCATGTGGTGGCCGTACAATCTTGTTCAGGTCTCGCTGTTCAGGTACGCTTCACCATCATTGTTCTCTTCTCCGAGAAAAATTTGCTTACGGAATGCTATTGGGTTACCTCCCTATGATTAACTGTAACTTATAAATATATCAAAATAGGAGCGCGAAACTTATTATTTACAGGGAGATTATAGAGAGATTGCAGGGGCATAACGTGAATATAACCCCTAATATCTTCCCGATAACTTACCTAAAAATGCAGCGCTGCATACGTCTTACCTACACAAATTTTTTCTTTTCTCCGGAAGAAATTTCAAATTGATTTGCGTATTTAAGGATCCTACCTAATACCAACTACCTAATACCAACTGCTAATTTTGTTAGTAATCTTTGGAAAATCTAGGGAATTTAAGCTTAAAAACACGCAGGCGGCACGTGCAACACCTGGAACTAAATAGACTTGCATTATATTTGTGATTATATTATAGTTTGATTCCATTTAAAATATTAATAATGTTGATAAAAATAAAATAGTTTACCCTCATCTTGCTGCCCAAAAAAAGAAAAAAAAAATGAAGCTTTTGAGGAGAACTTATAAGAAATTAGGTTTAGTGGGTGGACATGAGAATCTGGAAGTTATGCGAGGGAGTGGGTTGGCAGAACAATGGGATTGCATCACATTTTTAGTTCTTGTTTTTTGCAGAAAAAATATTACATCAGTACTACGCACGTAGAGGAACGTGCGTACCCAATGAAATCACGCCACGATATCCCGCGCGACGCAGAAAAAAAACGGCGCAGTAACACGGGGAATATTCCTCCCCGTGTTATTCATGTGTTATTGTGTGTTATTCATGTGTTATTCATGTGTTATTGTGTTATTATAACACCAGGAATATTCCCAGGATACAATAACACATGAATAACACACAATAACACATGAATAACACACAATAACACATGAATAACACACAATAACAC